CATGGCAGTTTTTATTTTTTTGTTACAGAGACTACGGCATGAAAGGGGGTTAATTAATGGAGAATTTAATTCTCCGTCGAACTGCCATTTTTTCATCCCTTAATCTCAATTAGGAGGGGAGAAGTGAATTTTTAATTACCGGGAGTCACTGTGCGCCGCAAAACTATTATTTTTCTTACTGCGCTGTGATTTCCATGACAGTGTCTTCCATTTTTTACAGAGATTAGGGGATGAGAGACGGTTAGTTGATGGGGAATTTAATTCTTCGTCGAACTGCCATTTTTTCATCCCTTCATCTCAATTAGGAGGGGAGAAGTGAATTTTTAATTCGTAGGCAAATGGTGAAAAGTCAGTGTGCGCCGCGAAAAAATTATTTTTCCCACGGGCCCCTGACTTTCATGGCAGTTTTTATTTTTTTGTTACAGAGATTAAGGGATGAAAGAGGGTTAATTGATGGGGAATTTAATTCTCCGTCGAACTGCCGTTTTTTCATCCCTTAATCTCAATTAGGAGGGGAGAGGTGAATTTTTAATTACCGGGAGTCACTGTGCGCCGCGAAACTATTATTTTTCTCACTGGCCCATGATTTTCATGGCAGTTTATATTTTTTTGTTACAGAGATTAAGGGATGAAAGAGGGTTCGTTAACGGAGAATTTAATTGTCCGTCGAACTGCCCTTTTTTCATTTCTTAATCTCAATTAGGAGAAGAGAGGTGAATTTTTAATTACCGGGAGTCACTGTGCGCCGCAAAACAATTATTTTTCTTACTGCGCTGTGATTTCTCTGACAGTTTCTTCCATTTTTTACATAGATTAAGGGATGAAAGAGGGATAATTAGTGGAGAATTTAATTCTCCGTCGAACTCCCCTTTTTTCATCCCTTAATCTCAATTAGGAGGGGAGAGGTGAATTTTTAATTACCGGGAGTCACTGTGCGCCGCAAAACAATTATTTTTCTTACTGCGCTGTGATTTCTCTGACAGTTTCTTCCATTTTTTACATAGATTAAGGGATGAAAGAGGGATAATTAGTGGAGAATTTAATTCTCCGTCGAACTCCCCTTTTTTCATCCCTTAATCTCAATTAGGAGGGGAGAGGTGAATTTTTAATTACCGGGAGTCACTGTGCACCGCGAAACTATTATTTTTCTCACTGGCCCATGAATTTCATGGCAGTTTATATTTTTTTGTTACAGTGATTAAGGGATGGAAGGGGGTTAATTAATGGAGAATTTAATTCTCCGTCAAACTGCCATTTTTTCATCCCTTAATCTCAATTAGGAGGGGAGAGGTGAATTTTTAATTACCGGGAGTCACTGTGCGCCGCGAAACTATTATTTTTCTCACTGGCCCATGACTTTCATGGCAGTTTTTATTTTTTTGTTACATTGATTAAGGGATGAGAGACGGTTAGTTGATGGGGAATTTAATTCTCCGTCGAACTGCCCTTTTTTCATCCCTTAATCTCAATTAGGAGGGGAGAGGTGAATTTTTAATTACCGGGAGTCACTGTGCGCCGCGAAACTATTATTTTTCTCACTGGCCCATGACTTTCTTGGCAGTTTTTATTTTTTTGTTACAGAGATTAAGGGATGAAAGAGGGTTAATTGATGGGGAATTTAATTCTCCGTCGAACTGCCCTTTTTTCATCCCTTAATCTCAATTAGGAGGGGAGAAGTGAATTTCTAATTCGCGGGCGAATGGTGAATAGTCAGTGTGCGCCGCGAAAAAATTATTTTTCCCACGGGCCCCTGACTTTCATGGCAGTTTTTATTTTTTTGTTACAGAGATTAAGGGATGCAACGGGGATCGATTGATGGGGAATTTAATTCTCCGTCGAACTGCCCTTTTTTCATCCCTTAATCTCAATTAGGCGGGGAGAAGTGAATTTTTAATTCGCGGGCGAATGGTGAATAGTCAGTGTGCGCCGCGAAAAAATTATTTTTCCCACGGGCCCCTGACTTTCATGGCAGTTTTTATTTTTTTGTTACAGAGATTAAGGGATGCAACGGGGATCGATTGATGGGGAATTTAATTCTCCATCACACCGTCTGGGTTTCATTCCTTAATATTAATTAGCCACCAAATGAATCACCTGAAAAACATTAAGAACATGTTGAGGACGCGGAGAGCATAAAATCCACTCCGAAACTATCCCTGTGACAGCGGGACTGCTACTGTCGAGTTACCCGCACAGGCAGTTCGCCCAGCCGTCAGATTCGACCGTGGCGCCATCCCTCCGTTGGGGTCGAACTATTTTTGGCTTGGGGTCACTTCAACCCCGAGATCTGAGCCTCTACTTTAGTCAATCCTCTTTGGCATTCCCAGCCCACCGATTCCTCCACTGACGTGATTTCTATCCCCACTCTACCTCTGCTCACTTTACGCAGTTATCGACACTCTCTGAATCGTGCCCTGCCTTATTCACAGGTACGGCCGCAATTTTAGTTCATGCGCCACCGCTATAAATTTTGCGGCTAAAGCTTCTCTATAAGCGCTGGCAATCTCTCCTATAATCTCTGTTGGCAGCATTATTAGCTTCCCGCGCAATCTCCCCCTCTTTCTCGCTTGTCATGAGTGCAGTGCAGGTGGGGAGCCCACGCAATAGTGAAATAATTACAAAAATGGTATGTATAAGTGGTTTTATTTATTGTTTATTGATAACTTCCTTTATTTGTTGTTAATTTTAATGATTTTGTCCGACCATTCATATCAAGACAATAATTATGAAGCCGGCTGACAAAAAATCTAACCTATACAGGTGAGGTTACTTTGTCAGTCGTTTGCATAATGTTGTTATTAGTCGAATTGTTAGATGAAATCATGAAAAAATTACATATTGGCCTGTTATTTTCTTTCACTGATTTTTTTTACATTTTTTAAGTAATTTACATGCTTTTTTGTATAAAAATGAGCGAAAAAAATCAATTGAAAAAACGATGCAAGCAAAAATAATAAATAAAAAAATTATTAATTAGCAAGAAAATCAGTGAAAAGAAATGAAAGGGAAAAACATCAAATTTCAATGATTTTGTCTAATCATTTTCAATTATTTAAATGATTAGATAAAATTATTACTGAATGATGATTTTCCCTTCCATTTTTTAGTGATTTTTTTGTATTTTGTTTTTTTTTCACTCATTTGCATACTTTTTCGCATCAAAATGCATAAAAAAATTGAAAATTAAGGATTCAGGCAATAAGATAGTATTTTTTTATAATAGTGCTATACTGCATTGTGCTACTCATTGCGATCACTATGCTTGCTTATTAAGAGAACAAAAATGATTGGATATACATTGATGATGCCGTTATTTCAAAAATTCGATGGTCGCGGAACGCTAAAGATGTGTATATATTATTTTTGGAGAAAAAGAATGAAAATTCGAAGAAAAATTAATTTTGGTGAAACTGCAAAAACGTATTTTTTTCCTTCACAAGAATGCCATGTGTAATATATTTGGTTCATTTAACATAGATGATTTTGAGTTGCTGAATGTGGTGAACCTATATTAGGTATATATACCAAAATTCTATTTGAAGAAAGTCGGGTTCAATCCTTAAGTCCCTAAGAAATACATATATTGAAGTAATCGATGAAAGTTGGTGTATGTGTCTAAAATCGGACTCAGATCCTTCACGACTGGTAGACACTTGAGTACCTTTGGGGGAAACCAATCTGAGCAGTCCTAAGTCTCCTTAAAAATTTTTTATGCGATTCAATCATTTGAAGACTATTATAGATGATTTTATTCCGACGTAATTCCAAATAAAATATAGAGAGCTAAAAAATTGAGGAGAAACTCTATTAACGGATAATTGTTTTAGTTAACCATATTATTTTGCAAAAGATTGTTATGCTTTGCAAAAATGAGTGAAATCCTATTAAAAAACCACAAAAAAACTTTTGTGAAAAAATTTTGCCAACTTGACGTTTTAGTCCCTAATCCTATTTTCCAAAAAAATATCCTCGCTTTTATTCACAAAAAAATACTTGAACTAAAAAATACGCCGAGCACGTCGTTCACAAATCATATTGACTAGAGGGACCTGATATCTCAAGTGAATGAATCCAGTAACATATATGAATGGAAAGGTCGCCATTGGAGACGCTAAATAACAAAACGCCCTCTACGAATTGCCGGCTTGAGAATACACATAGATGTGTGAGCAGACTTTTATATATCTGTGAGCACTCCTAAACTGGCCATCTTGAAAAAACTAGCGCCACCAACGGTAACTAGCGTCGCCAATTGCCAATTCGATTTTCAGAAAAAAGTCGACTTGGCGCGCCCGGTTTTTTGTGTATACTTCAGAAAATAAAAATTATGTGTAATTGAGTAGTTGATAGATGAGTGTCGAAGTTCATTTCTAGAAAGCAATAAACAAATTTCGGGGAAAATATTGTACAATCTCCGAAATTAAATCAGTTTGGTGACATAGTTACTTGAAAAACATTCGATTGTAGATTATCCCGATTCAACGGTCGATCGCTAATTCTTTCATACTACAATATTCTTCTAAAGCTCTCAGCATTTTCACAAGGTGAATATAATTCCTCGCCAACAAGACAGTGTCATCTGCAAAAAGAACCAACAGAAGATCGTTCCATCCGTCTATATCCGGACCCTCGAGACCCCTGCGTCTAAGCTCAGACTCGAAATCTGCGATGTAGAGAACAAATAGGAGAGCACTCAAGTACTCACCCTGGAGAACTCCCTCCGTCACCTCGAACCTATCTGAAAATTCTCCCTTGCATCTCACCTGAACTACCGCCTGTTCATACAAAGACTTCACTAGCTTAACGAGCCTTCGACTCACCCCCAACTCCAGCCATCTTTTCCAGAGCAGGTAGTGGGGGATAGTGTCGAAGGCTCGTTTGAAATCCCCAAACACCGCGAATACTTCGGAGTTCTCATGCCTCTGCTGTAGATGCACCGTTGAGAAAAGAGTGAAGATGGCATCAGCACAACTTCTTTTTCTACGAAACCCAAATTGAGTTTCAGGCAAGATACCACGTTCCTCAGCCCATGTCTCCAGCCTACGTTTCACGATAGAGATAAAAAATTTTGTCACGCAATTCACAAGGGCAATGCCCCTGTAGTTCGCGGGGTCTTCAGCATCACCTTTTTTGTACAACATCGTTAAAATTACTCTAGACCATTCCGGAGGACATGCTTCGCAGTTCATTACATCATTGAATATAGTACATAGGCTAGACTCCCAGCAATCTGGAAGAATCTTGAAGAATTCGTTCGATACCTGGTCTGGGCCAGGTGCTTTGGCATTTCCCGCTTCCTTGATTGCCTTTCGAACCTCATCAAGGGAGATTTCCATGTCAAGTTGATATACCAAAAAATTGGGATATTCCAGGTGAATCTGCGTTCTAGGCGGATAAATACCTCTATAGAAATCATTCCAGCTACTTATTTTGACCGAGCTTCTAATTGCACTAGCCATACCAATTGATTTATAAAAATTTGCTGTTTCCCAAAACTGTCCCAAATTGCGAACGTTTGCAAAGTCTTCCTCCCTCTGCTTATAGAATTGTTCTTCTTTGAATTTTCTGAGTTTCTTATATTCCTTTTTGCAATCCAAATAATCAGCTCTGTTTTCGCCACTGAAGTTTGAGGCAAAGCATCGATTTACTAATTGATTAAATGCATTTCTCATTTCCGAACAGTCTTTATCAAACCAGGGTTTGTTTTTCTTCATTGTCTTGGGGTTTCTCTGAGAATTCACATAAACGTTATTTGACTTTATGCACATGCCTGAAACCTCAGCCGCAATGTGTACTGCATCAACAAATTCCTCGTAAATTGCTAATGGGGTGTTATTGACATATGAATCTGGGTTTCTACCTAACTTGTGCATTTCATCATAGTATTTGCAAATTTTTTCTCGATCCTCAGGAAACCATTTCAATTTAGGTCTATTTGAATCAGTCACCGTCTTAGGGAGGAAGTTGGCTAAAGGAGAAGGACAGGAGGTAGGGTTTTCCCCTAATTCCAGAATAATGGGGAAGTGATCTGATGCTGTAACTGTGGGGTCTACTTTAAAATCATTTACGAGGGAGAGGCTAGAGGATTTCGCCCAGACTAGATCAATAATACTAATACCGGAATGTTTAACAAAAGTTATTTTTGCTGGTTTATTACTATAAGAACGACCATTTATAAGTATAATGCCATTTTTTATCATAAAGTCATTTATTAAACTACCTCTGGGGTTGCACCCATCATGACTTAAAATACAGTCATAATCGAGTTTTGTATAATCAAAAATTTCCTCAGGCATGTAATTTAAACATAGTCCGCCAAGTTTGGCATTATAATCACCCCCTATGAACACATAATCTAGGTTGCCTATGAGGTCTTGCTCATCTAGAATGGATTGCATCTCTTTTAGTTTCATTTGAATATCTATTTTATCAGGTTTAAAATATATATTTCCTATTAAAATATTTCCATAGCACGTATTGAGTTTAATAAAAATCCAACAATTGCATACACTCACGCTTACAAAATCAAGATCGCCACTAACCAAAAGAGCGAGGCCACCAGTGGCTCTTCCGACGTCTGCTTCTCTCTCTCCATTGGACTAAATCTGCTTGTAGTCTCGTAGTGCGGCTGGCATCCATCTAGGTCGATCCACCAACCACGTTTCTGACAGGCATATCACTTCATGATCTGCGATGTTCTTATGTTCGGCGACATTGGAGAAAGAGCTCATATTCCAGAACAGCACGTTGAGTAGCCCTACTTTGCTCCGTTTTTTGAGATGCTGCGTTGCTGGCTTGAGTCACACTTTTCAAGCCCCGGGTTTCGTGTGTTCCTCCTTGGTGGCTGGATCAGCAGTTGTTCGGTTTCAGAATTGAACAAGTGCCACTTCCCATCAATGGAAATATTGCTCGGGCCTCTCACAAAAACACGGTGGCCTTCACTACGAAGTACGTTGGCACTTTGCAGTAGCTTTTTCAACGATTCCTGTTCCAGTGAGGTCCAGTCCTGATCGATGTAAACGTCACTCCTCTTTAATTCACTCTTACTACGAAGGATATCCCGCTTCACCTCAGAAGAGCTGAGAGTGACAATTGCGCGTGCTTTGTTATCATTCCTTTGCGGGAGTGATCTTACCTCCACCATATGTTCATCAGCATTGAATTTATCGTTGAGAATTTTTTTCACTGATTCAACTGAGCTCTCATTACACTGTGGGTAAGTAATGATTAAATTCTTCTTTTTCGATTCCTTTTCCTGCCTGTCAAGCTTCTTGATAATTTCTCCCACTCTGTTTGGGTCTCTCACACTCGAGCTAGCGGCCTTGATGTTATTCAGAGATCCCCTCATCATCTCAATCTCACTATCCACTTTACTACCCATCTCTTGAATTTTCGCAGAAGACGAAAATAATGCTATTCAAGAAAAAAGGGAATCCTGTGGGTTTAAACAAGATGAACTTCTGCCTGTATAATGAACCAATAGAGTTCGTGAAGTCCTTCGTGTATCTGGGTGTTACTCTCTCGTCGAATGCGCTAGCTGGCGCGGCTCTGAACTCTGTGGTGGGGAAAGCCCGCGCTGCGAGTCAAGCTGTTCTCAACATCCTTTATAAAACAAGGACTGCTCCCTGGAGTGCCACTCTAAAACTATTCCAGAGTGTTATTGTCTCCACGGTTTTGTATGCCTTCCCTGCTTGGGGTTTGTTGGTGCGAGATAAAATTGAGCTGATGCAGACTTACTTCTTCAAAAAACTCTTGATTCTCCCGAAAAGTACACAAGGTTGGGCCTTGCGACTGGAGCTCGATCTCATGCCCTTGCAATTATATGCAATAAAAAATGTTTGGAATTGGTATATTCATATTCTCCAGTCTCAAGACTCATACCTCCCAAAAATTTGTCTAAAACGCCTATTGGCGATAGCCACGACCCCCACAGCTAGCACCAAATACAATTGGCAGCTCCAGTTCAAGGAGGTGCTCCTTGATTGTGATGCTATTGACTTGTGGGGTAATATGGATCCCTCAGCGTGGATAAGGCGTAAGAGTGGGGCAATTTATTCCCTGGGTGAGAAGTTGAGGGGTAATGACTATTCTAGGTATCAGTCCTCAACGTCATGTCAGTTTTACATTTGCAGAAGACTAAATGACCATGTTAAGAACTACATCTATGATAAACACCTCACTGCTGTGAAGAGAATAATTGCCCAGGTTAGACTATCGACTATACACCGCTGTCACCTCAGCCTTCCCTCTGGAGGTGTTAGAATAAATCTGAGAGATCAGTGTCACTGCTGCACGTCCGGTAGTTACGATAATTTATATCACTTGATCTTCAAATGTACTGCTTTTGCTGAATCACGGCGGACATACCTCTCTAGAATCATAAATGGAACAGGAAATCCGGAATATCCCGCGATAGAATTTTTCAGAATTTTAGAATCACGCGCCTCCCTCTGCGAAGTCTTCTATTACTACATAAGTGAAATGATAAAGAAAAGACCTGATATGTTAAGAGAACGTGAGGAAGAATGGATGAATGTGTAAATGGCATAACAAACTAGCAAGCATACCAATATACAGAATACTAGAAAATAAGTATTATATTTTTATACACTACTGTACCCCTCATAGGGGATCTCTGAATCTCGTGAAATAAACTATATATATATATATATATATATATATATATATATATATATATAACGGTCGATCGAGGAATCAACTGGAAATTATGTAAATCTTTAATACCATATTCATTTGAATCAATTGACATTTTGAATACTCCGGTTGAGTAATGTTGCAATCCACTGATGAAGTACTGAGGCGTTCTGTCCTAATGAATTGATCGGTAACAATCGGTACTTTCCATCAAGGGCCACAGAGTGACACAGTGTTAACTAAGATATGTCTTTGATCAATCACAGTTCTCCTGTTTGGCACTGTGTTAGACAGTGCCTTATGATGGAAAGTGCCCAGTGTAATTGACTTACACGAAAACCGGGCGCGCTGAGTGGACTTTTTTCTGAAAATCGAATTAACAATTGGCGACGCTAGTTACCGTTGGTGGCGCTAGTTTTTTCAAGATGGCCAGTTTAGGAGTGCTCACAGATATATAAAAGTCTGCTCACACATGGACATATGAGCGTATGTATCATCTATGTGTATTCTCAAGCCGGCAATTTGTAGAGGGCGTTTTGTTATTTAGCGTCTCCAATGGCGACCTTTCCATTCATATATGTTACTGGATTCATTCACTTGAGATATCAGGTCCCTCTAGTCAATATGATTTGTGAACGACGTGCTTGGCGTATTTTTTATTTCAAGTATTTTTTTGTGAATAAAAGTGAGGATATTTTTTTGGAAAATAGGAACAGGCAATAAAACGTCAACTTGGCAAAATTTTTTCACAAAAGTTTTTTTGTGATTTTGTCATTGAAAATTCAGGATTTCGTGGAAAAATCAAAGAGAACTGTAAATTCCAGTTTCATTTTTTCTTGAAAATGAATAGAAAACCAGAAAATTCCGGTAAATATATTCTTAAATTTTCACTATAGTCACATTGAATGCGATTTAGAGGAAAAAAGTCATGAAATTTCAGATTTCACAGAAAATTCAATGCAATTAGACACTGAATGTTCATATTAAATTGGAAATTCAAATAAATTAAGGGATTCTCATCTTTATGCCCCTTAAAATTCTGGAGTTTTACAGAATTTTCAGTGAAATCTGAAATTTCAGGATTTTTTCCCCTAAATCGCATTCAGTGTCACTGTTCTGAAAATTGGTAGTCAACTGTCCATGAAATTTCATTTTTTTCTAACAGTGTGGAATATCATGTAAATACGTGATAATTGCACCATCTATCGGACGGGATAGGAACCTGTGTAAGTAGGTTGCGAGTCCAATCTCTCCCAAGGAGCTACTGTCGAGTGGCGAAAATGTGAACCCGTGCAAGTAGGGTCCGCGACCTACGCCTCGTCCCCATCTGAGTTACCAATAGACTCCTTTCATATTTCAATACATTTGATGTTTTACATTAAGATCTCGTCTACAGAAATTTTCATCCCCATATTTTATAAAACCGATACACATCATGAATTTTACTAATTTGATGATGTTAAACACATGAAAAACCAAATCGACATATATCATAGCCAGAGTTTTATGGATTTCATATTTTTATTCAATTGCACATCTGACTTATTCATTCCAAATTGCAGATAATAAATTGAACTGAATTAAATAAATAATAACTTTCTCAATTCGCCTCGGGAAGTGAAAAAAATTGAAACTATAAATAATAACAAAGTTAAAGCCCTGGTGTATTATGTTTCGAACGTTATCTCGATTGTTTATCCATCTTCCTAATGTAAAATATATCACAATTTCCATTGGATTTTACATCACGCAAGAGTACCTAAAAATTATGATTGTACAATCAAAAAAAAATTTTTTTTTAAACAACATTTTCAAAGAGCATTTTTAATACAGATTAAGAACTGAGTCCGATAGAAAGGAAATAGTGAATGGATAATTTATCATGGTAACTAACGATCTGACAGCCATTGACTACTATGACAAATGAGGACTTAACAGCCATTAGATACATTAAATTATTAATTTGCAATTTCCTCCCTATTGGATTTATTTTTCAATATTATTCAAAAACGCTTCTTGAAAATGTTCAACTTTTTTTTAAGCGTTTTTCTGATTGTACAATCATAATTTTTGAAGACTCCGAGGCTATGTAAAACTAAATAGCAATTAGAGATCATTTCAGATTATCAAAATAAAAAAAAACAACCAAGATCACGTTCGAAACATAATCTACCCGGGCCTTAAAATAAACTGTGTCCAACAGGTCGTTTTAAAGACATAAATGCATAAACAAAAAGTATGATATACAAGAAAATTGAAAAAAAAATCGGAGAAAATTGATCCGGACCAATGAATCATGTCGATTTAACTTATTAATGCCTTGTGAAAACAAAATCTTATGTTTGAGATATTTACCACATTCGTTCGTTTTTATCACTGTACTACATAATTACAGAGTTAGCATCTAAAATTATAAAATGTAAATAGATGTGCATGTAAGGATATATATTAATAAGGACATATATTTTACCTTCAACAACTGCGAATTTCGAAATTCTGCATCACAGTTAATCAAAATCGTTGATTTTGAGAAATTCCATGGACCTAAGAGCTGCCTACACATCATAACTCCACATTGGGATTCACTGAAATGTAACAAAGAATAACACCAACGTAACAAACTGTAAATAAAATCGTTTTTCTTTTTATATTTCATAGAAAAATATAAATATATTAATTACATTTTTCTCAATTGTTCTCTAGTTTTTTCTTCCTCTTTCTTATAGATTTCTTCAACTTCCTGGATACCTGCGCCTCTGGACTGCATGACTATGTGTGACAGGTGGCGAGTGACTTCTCAGTTGCCGTAGCAACCGATCATCGATTTTCACAACTTATTATGAGTTGAAATTAATAAGACACACATTGTAGCGAATTTGTTCAACTTTAATACTATTCTTGTAATAATTACAGCAATTATTTGCTATTAATTTACAAAAAAAATAGATAAATTTGTTTATCCGAGTAGTTCCTCTGATGTCAATGATTTTGGCTGAAAATTCAAAAAAAAATTCCATGAAAAATATAATTAAAAAAAAATGCGTCTATTTTTATTCAAAAAATTTAAGTGATTCTTGGTTACCATGATATAAACGTGAGTGGGCAGAGATCTTTCTAGGACTGCTGCTAGTCGACCTCTGCTGATTTTATGCTCCTCGTCTGAAAAAAAGACAATATTCCTGTGGTTTTTTGCATTAGAAAGGTGAATAATTGAAGATAGAGGAGATTTTTTGTTCTATGGAGCCCCCATTCAGTAGCACGGACTGTCCTTACTCAGATAAATCCACTTAGATGGATAAACCTCCTGGATGATTCTTCTACGGATAGCCTGGGGTGATTTATCATGATAAATATCATTTATCATATTTGCCCATTGCTAGATTCACCGCTCATTAGAGATGACATCGAAGTATTACATCTTGATGATATTCTCTCGTGAAGAAATTTATACCGATAGCATTGGAATTCATGCGATTCAATTGAACGAATTCATATCAGCACTTGGAGAAATGTAACAAATTTGAAAGAAAATTCTTTGCAGTTTATTATCTGTTGAATTTATTTTAAAAAAATTTAATGCTCTTTTCACGTACAGTCTCTATACCTTACATGGAGGAATGAACTATGTTCATTTCTCAATGGAAGGAAGTAACGGGAGAGCAAAAACGCCAATAAGTGACCGAAAAAACCTTGCCCAGATTTATACCCAGCGCAGAACTGAGGATTCTACTGGGGCAATTGTACTCAGGAACCTCTGAAGAAATGTACTACATTGGGTGAATGCAGCGTGCATTTATATAGGGATGAGAATAAAGAGAAAATGAGGCAAGTAAAACCTGTCGAATTCGCTAGATAATCCTATTGGATTTCTATTGAATTTTCTATTCGTTTTTGGCCGATTCTATTAAAATGTTCGCTAGAAAATATTCTATAGAAAAAGTCAATAGAAGCCGATTTTTCTATACAATTTATTCAATTAAAATATTTTCTATAAAATTTCCTCGGTTCAAATTTTCCAAGTTTTTTTCGTTCTATTTTTCTTTTTTTTTTATAAAAAAAAATCAAACAAAGATAGAAAATTTGAGCCAAGAAAATTGTACAGAAAATATCTCAATAGAATCGGTCAAAAACTAAAAGAACGTTCAATAAAAATCCAATAGAATTATCTGGCGAATTCGCTCGATTTTTCTATTTAATTTTTTTATACGTGCACTGTAGATGTAGACGATAACAAATAAATCAAAACAAAAATTGTAGCCCTATATCACAAATTTGCGTTCCCGCAAAACCATCGTCTATTGAAAATCAACATCGTGATTCATAATAGTTATGTATATTATTATTCAACAATTCCCATATGGTCTAGTGAATAGAATACAATATATGATCCGCAATAGTTGAGACAAACCTGGTGTAACTGATGGAACCACACAAGAAAAGCTGTCATCAAAATGTGTTCCTTTCTATTTGTTCATCATATCAAGAAAAACATCTTTCATATTTACCATTTCTCTCCACCTTCAAATGTGCTTTCCGAAATCATCACAAAAACTCTTCTTAACTCACCTTGCGGAACACTCAGATTTAACGTCGGCAAGGCGACAAAACCGGCCACTAGGGGTCGCAAAATCCACTCGACCTTTCGCGCATTCTGCGGCCTAAGGTAAATATCTACTTGTTTCTGTCCCGCGAACATAAATGCATCACTGGCCTCCATTGTCATCTTAAGCGTGATCAAATAGTCTGACCGATTCTTCAGGTAATAGCTGACGCACATCGGTGTTCGGACCCAGCCTTCAGCCGGAATCTTGGCCTCGATGCCCACCGGGGCGTCCTCTACCCAGAGGGGTGCCAGCGTGACACTAGTACTAGTTTCAACGCCTTCTTCGACGTTCCTCTTCCATCGGATTGTGTAGACCCCAGTGGATGTTGGTTGTCCCGATCGTGCTCTTGGAACGACGCAAATGACGTCAGTGGCAGATTCGCCTTCGGCTATGGTCAACCCATCAAGAAGCCTGGAGGGACCCGGTTCTTCCCTAAAGGCTTTCCCAAGTTCAACGGAAGTTCCTATAAATAAAAAAAAAATTTTTTTTCGAAGTGCTGAAGAAAGTTCATATCGGCAGTCCTTACCTAGAATCTTCAGAGGCCATGGAGAAGAGCACTCTATATTCGGCATCACGACGAACTCTTCGTCAACGAAGGCCTTGGTCAGTGGTTCGAATAAACGGGTATAGAATTGTGTTCCAATATCAAAAGGTTTGACGATTTCCACCGCATGAGTCTCCTCCCTCACCCGCTTCATCAGATCGCTCCCCAGAAATTCTAATCTCGCCAAAAAATTTCGAACCCCCACCTGATGAGACCTTACGTAAACTGTTCTCTCAACTATTTCTCCAGGTGCAATAGATTCCACCTCAAAAACTACGGAAGTTTCCTTAGTTATCATTGTTTCACTTAATTCAGTAGTTGAATCTGTGGTATGATCCTGAAAAGTCTGCTTGACCTCCATCGAAAACTTGGAAATTTCTTTGTTAGATTTGATATCGAACTTCACCGGCAACCATTCGCTCAAGAGCGCCGGGGATCTCGAGGTGATGACGACCCTTAACGACGTCTCTTCCTGCCTGATTTGCGTGATGTTTATGATCCTGATCCCCTCGAAGCTCCCCCTGGACCCCTGGCCATCCAGCCCCCCAGGATCCCCTGGGAACTTCAGAATAATTCGGCGTTTCTCATTTCCCAACACTAGTGACACCAAGCTCACTTGAATCTCCGTTCCATCAGGTACCTGAGAGGCAGGAAACTCGCACCTGAGTCGTCTCAATTCCTCTCCCTCGAATCTGCACCCCCGATCACTGTTTTCCTCAACAGGTATCTCAGTGCTCATGCCAGGTCCCGAAATCGTGACGGAGATCTTCGAAAACTCAACAGAAGCCTCAAACAGATTTTTCACGATCACCTCCACCCTGACTTTTCCACTCGCATTGAAGCTAGCGGCAGTGAAGGACCCTTTGACCTGCACAAAAGTCGCAACATTCGTGTCTTCAATGGTCGAGACGAAATCCTCAAGGCGATTCAGCTCAGAGCCCCACTTTTCGATCGCTTCGCTGATAGCTTCCTCAGGGAGATTTGGATGAGCCTGTGGGACCTTCCGATTTAAAATTCCGAGAAGATTTGTGTAGATCCTACTCCGCTCATCAGCTGAGAACGTTGCGGTCAGCCCGAGAGCCTCGATACTCAGTGTCAGGTAGTCCTGAACACTGGCGTTGAGAAAAGCTGCCCTCATCGCGTTCATGAGAACATCAGTCAAGAGCAATGGCCACTTCTCAGACCTGTACTCCCAGAGCATATGGGTCAGAAGAGTCAACACCTTCCCGTAATCCTTGCAATTATAATATTCCGCCGCCATCTGCACCGCCAGAAGCCGCCGCATCCTCGGGCACCGGTACATCTTAAACTGGGACATAGCATTCCCAAGCAGTGCAATGATGATCATCGAGTGGTCTACGTTTTTCTCCCTCCACTTGAGGACCTGAACACCGAGAGCCTCTTTCATAGCGTCCGCACATTCCGCTGAAAGTTTGCCAGGTCTCCACGACCTTTGCCCATAGAACTCCATCTTCATCTCGTCATCAAGCAGATCCGGATCTACTTGAAGAGCGTTAGCGCACAGTTGGTTACAAGCTGTTTGCCTCGCCCCTGCATGGGTCGCAGCTGTCTGGTAATAATACCCCGGGTGCTGAGTTTGAACAGCTGGAAGACCCTGACGAATCGCGTCGTCGAACAGTTCAGCGAAAGTTGAGTACTGATTCGCCATAAAGGCGTGGTGTTCGAAGATGAGGTCTTCAGAACCTGTTCTCGATCGAAATCTGTCTGTGTGCGCCCGGAACTGGTTGATAGCTTCTCTTGGTTGGTTCAGGGCGAACTGAAGCTTACATATCTTGTAATTGATGAAGGCGCCAACGGTCTTAATCTCGAATGTATTGGTGTCCATCATCCTGATCTCGAGGAGATTTGTGTAAGCTGCCTTGTAATGGTGCACTGCGATCAACTTTTCTTGCCGGAGTTCGTTCAGGAAAGCTATCTTGAATTGGTGTCTGACGAACAGGTACTGATGGGATGTCTTGGTCAGCTGATCTTTGTGGCTTTTTACTGTGCGGTGGTGGTGGTGATAGAAGTTTTGAGCAAGATCATAGAAGGCGCTTTCTAAGCGGGAGGTGTATCCCTGGAGGTGATCCCCGTGGGGAAGGATGTAGAGGGACTTGGCTGGGAGCTCGCAAGCTGTGCAGAGAGCAGTCGCTCGCTCGGTCGCTATATTGTCCTCTGCATCGGGGGTGGGGGGTGGAGTCTTCTGAATGAGAACGACTGCTGTTCGCGTAGAGCGACCGTCCAGGGCGGACCTGATCGCTTGCACTCTCGAAGCGCATTCCATCTTCTTTTCAGTCCAGTTAGAATCTGTCCAGTCGAGCTCATAGAAGCAAACCACTACTGCGGGAATTTCTGACAGATATTTCGGCATCCAGTTGCGCTTGAGGATGCCTTTTGGGATGTACCATTCGTATGAGTTTCGTTTGGGTTTTGGGGTTGGGAAGGTGTGATTCAAGGGAAGGTATTTGAAGTGGACTGATAGGTTGTCTGGACGACGATTGCTTTGGAAAGCGTCCCAGATTGAACGGTGTGTTGTGTTCGAGAGGTCTAGGCCTGTGAGGCCGATTAGGGCTAGTGGCTTGGCCAGGAGCTCTGGTGGCAGCTCCGACATTCTTATAGGCTGAAAATTAATAGTGGCTTGACATAGAGAGGTACTTCCGGCTCGACTTCACGTACAAAAAAATTTAATAGAAAAACAGCGAAATCGCTAAAAAATTCCATTGGATTTCTATTGAATTTACTATTAATTTTTGGTCGATTCTATTAAAAAATTCCGCAGCCTATCTGTGGAATTGTTTTCAATAGAAACATTCAATAAAAAATATTCGTTGGAAAAAAATCAATAGAATTATATTTTTTGATACAACTTATCACTTTATTGGCATATTTTCTGTATAAATTACGCGGCTCAACTTTTCTAAATGTTTTGTTTGATTTTTTTAATGGTAAGAGATGAAAAATAAAGTGGAAAAAACTTAGAAAATGAATGTGGAGAAATTTGTCAATAGTTATATAGTAATAATAATAATTTGATTGTCCTGAGGGAATCCGTACAGCTCAGGGCATTCATAAAAAGTTTTATTTATCTGTGTATGATTCTCAAATAGAAACTAGATTCTGAGTCTAAGATCTTTGAAAGCACAACCGGAAACATTAGAAGGATAATCCAAGATACTTAATCTGAATAGACGAAAACAACCCCAATTTAAGCACCAAGAATTGAGTATTTGAAAACGATGCTGAGGAGACAGAAAAATGGAATTCGAAACTATCCAATAGAAAAAAAATTATGCATTCTGCTGATATTTATTCTGTTCAGATTTCTCCCATAGAAATTTCTCTGCATTAATTTTGGAAATTTTTTACACTTCATCGTGCCCTATCTCATTAAATCTCCGATTCTCACGAACAGTGGGAGGAAAACCCACACATCTTTTCAATAGTTTTTTATAATACTTCAACATTAGCAAAAACGAAAACAATTGGGCGAATATTAGTCTTCAAACCCTCAATTATCCAATTCCACTTTCTTTTCTCTTTATTATGTTTATTTTTTACATGAAAAACGCAATTGAAAAACCTGAAGAATTAACGAATGACAGAACAGAAAACTTTTAAAATTCAGGTCGACAAATTACGATGGAATATTTTCAACAGAATCAGCTTTATAGAAAAATCCAAGTCTAGTAATTTTCAATAAAAATCTATAGAATTTTTCACCACAATTTCCTTGAAAATCTGTTGGGTTTGTTTATTGAATTTTTTAATTCTAGGAGAATGGTGAATGTTGAAAATTGAAAAAAATAAAAACTAAAAGCTCCATATTTTTCATGTATATTTCGATGAAAAAATAAAACTAATTGATTCCTTTGCTACACATCTGCTACTTCTGGATTGTCCTACTTTCAACTTATTATCATAAGAAACAGAATTTCCACCTAATTCTTTTCAATAATAGCGATTCACTAATAGATATTATGGGAATAAATGCAACATATCGATGTTGGAATAATGATAATAAAATATATTATATTTGCGAAAATATTTTGTTGTCATCAATATTTTGAGTGCCAGACTATCAGGTACTCATAATTATTCTTCAGACCACCACTAAATGGAGAAATATCATTTTGAATGACATTATATTTAGAAAACTATAGTTCTTTTCCCTTTTCTTGAACAAATAATCATTTCACTATTTTACTATCAATCCAACAATCCACAGTGAGTCCAGTAGTTTTTCAATTGTTAAATGTTTCTCGGGACCTGTTGTGAAGTTTATTTATTTTTAAAAGAACTCGATAATCAAGGAATATTGTCATCGAATCGATACAAACCTTTGAATTCGATGGTTGAATTAATAAATAATTATTTTATCTACTACTTCGACACATTTGAACACTTGTGATGACCACCGATGCTCCTGATACTGCCTGATACTCCCTCCACCACTCCAACCGCTGATCGCAGGTTATGTTTGAGATTTAAGGCCTCCGCACAATCAAAAAGCACACGCGATAAGCAACAAATATAGGTTACAGGCTATAAGAAATAAGTTTCCAACGTTCCGTAGTAAATGCGCGAACGCACAATAAAGCAATAGGAATAATAGAACCGTGCAACAACTGTAGAAATAAAGTTATAAGCTACAAGAACTTTGTTTATCATAGCGTCAACTGATTATACATACACGAGGGAAACAGGAAAAATACATAAATAAATAATAAAATAGCTGCAGTAAAGCGAAATTAGATAGGGTTAAAGTACTGCTACTGCTACTAAGTCGATTGCGAAACGCGCCCACAGGATACGATGTCCACTGAAGGAGAAAATAGTGTACAAAAGGATGGGATTAATCTAAACTATAAAGAGGGGGATGAGTTATTGATTGAGCTCATTCGATCTTATCGTCATCTATGGGATAAGAAATATCGTGACCACAAAGGTACCGAAATGATAGAAAATTCGTTGTTCCTTCGACAGCGATCTTCTGCGACTAGTTTTCTTTAAAAGTGGTGAAACTTTCATTAGCAATTGGTCAAATTTGGTTACTGACATTCTCGTGGATCGAAAAAATAACTCCTCATCACTTCGCAATTTGAAAATGAACGATTCAACGTCTCCAATTGTATCACCATAATAATTGATAGGTCGCGTACACCAACGTCGATACCTCCATCGTTTGTGCTTCTTCGTTTTTTTAATTAACATGAGTAGTCCCATCATTTGTAAGCTCACAATTGCCAAGAATAGCGCATCGGTACCAATCATGATTAAAAAATAATGATTACCAGATAATTATACGACTTTGACCAGAGATCATACGGGAGATGAGCAGGAACAATGTAAAGTGTTCAACAGCAAAATTAGTAGCGGTGGCGCATGGACTACGATGGAGCGTACGGAACTGTTGGTATGGTAGGGCCCGAGCATAAATTTGTCGATAACCGGAAAGGGGTTCTCAATACGGTAGGTCCTCGCATTTTATAATAATTGTCAGGAATGTAAAATCGAACATTATAATCAATAGTATAATGAATGCAGAATCTAATGATCTAAAAGTCTTTTCCTTTTTCTCGACATATTTATTATTGACACGTAGGTAAAAAAATTCATAGAAAATCCCAGCGCTGTCGCTGGAAAACTATAGTTTTCCAGTGATTCTATTGAATAATTGTGCAGATTTTGTTTTTTTTTTACTATAGTAATGTTCGATTATATATATTTATTCCCCCCCTGAGTGAGAAAGGAATATGTATCGCGCTCGCTCCCACTCATTGTCGTCTCCGTCGCGTTATCACGTGCCCGTCCTCCGCCAAACTTAACGAGAGCTAGTGAGAAAGAAAATGGAGAAGAAGGAGAGAGAAAACATTCCAACTCGTTTGAACGGTTGGAACGTTTTCGTTGTTCTCCAGCGATCTACACATAATGGGATTAATTCAATAATAATAGATTAATGAATAAGATTTTTCGCAGATTATTGCGAGATTTAGATGAATGGTTTGCCTCCTTCAGTGACCATAAAAAATTGTCTCCAATCGACAATATCTCCCGATGGAATGGAACGATGTGAATGAATCAAGTATCAATTTGAATCTTTAAAAAAAAGGGAATTCCACTCTGAGATTTCTCTATTGTCTGTATTTACCGAGAAAAAAAAAACGGACCCAGGAATCGATGTGTCTTTTTTAGGCAGCTGCATTTCTGAAATGCAATGAGCAAGCAATGTTAAAATTAAGTCATTTTGTAAAAAATTTCTAGTGACATGATCCTGAAAATCAAAGGAAAGTCTTGAATTCAGGAATGATGTCTGTAGGTTTCAGTAATATTTTCGCGGAAATTCCGGGAACACTTATTGGGAATTTTTATCGCGTCTCTGGCGATCCAACAACGACGATGTAGCGTCGTTGTTCCGTCATTGATTTTAATTGTTCATTTTGGTGCTAGAAAAGAGGGAATGGCCCCTAAAAACATTATAAAAGTTGATATATGGGGTATTTATTCATATTGGTACCGTTAATGGCATTGTTATTTATCAATTGGATGAAATAATTTTTAGTGTTAAGAATGATGATTGAAGCTTGTAAGGGGAATGCCGCGAGATGGCGGTAGCGTCAATATCCCGCTCGGATCGGTAAAGTCGACAGTAGTAGTAGCCAGGCTGGTCTGACCAGTAGTCTGCCGAGCTAGTTAACGGGTGTGCAATGTTGACGCATGTTTTGTTATTTTCTTTTAGGTGATCAAAAGTGCACAGAAGATAGGAATTGCATCGGATACATTTTCGTATGATTAGCTTTAGATATTTATGATTATTTTTACATTGTTTTAATTTATTTTATAGCGTCCTTATTAGGGTGGGAGGGGGGATGGACATGATAACATAGAGTTGCAAATCCTAGCGAAGGGGAGGGGATTTCAAAATCTATCTGAGCCACCCCCCATCCCTCCATTCGCATGCATTAATTGAATAAATTAAAAATTTTTGTTAATTAAGATTTCACGAGAGGGTGGAAGGGGGAGATACGACGGCGGAGGGTCCCAAATTTTACCCAATAAGGGAAGGGGATTGCCGAGACTGACTGAGCCACCCCCATGCGTTGATGAAATAATAAAAAATATAAAATAAATAATGAAAATCGCGAAAATTGATAATTTACGACGGAGTGCAGGGGGAGGTATGAGGGCGGAGGATTGCAAAATTTACTCACAAAGGGGAGGGGGTTTCAGAATCTAGCTGAGCCACCCCCATCCCTCCCTCCCCATCCCTTAGCATGAGTTGATTGAATAAAAAAAATTTTCAATAGAAAAAGAAAATCTCGCAAATTGAGATTTTGCGAGGGGGTGGAAGGGGGAGGTACGACGACGGAGGGTTGCAAATTTCAGCCAACTATTGATTAAGCTCTCATGAGGGGGTGGAAGGGAGAGGTACGACGACGGAGGGTTGCAAATTTTACCCAACAAGGGGGGAGGGGCTCCCAAATCTGACTGAACCACCCTCATGCGTTTATTTTAAAAAAAGATTTAAAAAAGTCGTAAATAAAATTCTCAAATGAACAATGAAAATCGCGTAAATTGAGAATTTATGAGGGACTGGAAGCGTGAGGTATGATGAGGGAGGGTTGCAAATTTTACCCAACAAGGGAAGGGGATCCTCAAACTCACTGAGCCACCCCCCATCCCTCCGTTCGCATGGATTAATTGCATAATTAAAAAAGTTCTTGAATAAAGAATGAATATTTCGTCAATTAAAATTTCACGAGGGGGTGGAAGGGGGAGGTACGACGACGGAATGCTGGCAATTTTATCGAACAAGGAGATGGGGTTCCCGAATCTGACTGAGCTACCCCCTGCGTTGATTTAAAAAATTAGTTAAAAACAATAAACAATGAAAATCGCGGCAATTGAGACTTTGGGAGGGGGTGGAAGGGACAGGTGCGACGGCGGAGGGTTACAAATTTTACCCAACAAGGGGAGGGGGTTTCAGAATCTTTCAGAGCCACCCCCATCCCTCCGTTCCCATGCGTTTTTTAAACAAATTCAAAAATTGTTGAATAAAAAATAAAAATCTTGTTAATTGAAATTGCACGAGGGGGTGGAAGGGAAGGTATGATGGTGGAGGGTTGCAAATTTTACCCAAAGAGGGGAGGGAGTTTCAGAATA